TTTCGCGTACGTGCATTCCCTTCTCTTTATTTCCCCTCTCGTCTTCTCCTTCCCTTTGATCCTCTCCCTTTCTTCCTCGCTCGCGTTTCGGAGCTGGAGAGCTCGCTAGTCTCGCGCGCACGGTACGGAGCAACAATAAAGGTATCGCGACGGCGAACGAAGGACGACGATTTTACAAATCAAATACTTGGGGCGCGTACGCCAAACGACTCGTGCCTGATTCCGCAATTCGTACACAAATCTACGTCGAATGTAAACTGAGGCGCAGCGATTTGCATAGTCAGGTAAAATTTTCTATGAGAGAAGTTAGAAGGATTTACTTGTCAGTTGATCTTAAACCATGCTCGTCAATTGGTCTTGAATTTTACGTCTCGGAGAGTTGAATTCGAGACGTCGAGCATTTCGCGAGTACGCGAATCAAGCGTCAGGTGAGAAATAGTTCACGAACGCATCCGCCTGTTATCCTATTATCAACGCATTTGCGCACGCTGCGGATCACGCGTGATTCGTTTCGCGAACTTCGCTCGTTCGCCCGCTACCCTCGATATGCAACGATCAAATCGCGTTGATCCTCGTAACGCGAGGATCCCCGACTCGGCTCTCGCTTCCGAGTCTCCCCGTTTAAAAAACAAAATAAGAACAAGAATAACTTAGACCTCCGCCGTACGTATCATACAAGCTATACACAAGGAAAGAAAAAGAAAAAGATAAAACAACATTCGCGAAACATTCGATTAACGTGGACGCAATAAAATACAGAAGCGTGTATAGCTCGATCCGCCTTTCGATTCTCTCTCTCTCTTTCTCTCTCTCTCTCTCTCTCTCTCTCTCTGATTCTGATTCTCTCTCTTTCTCTCTCTCTCTCTTTTTCCTCGCATTTCCTCCGATCCTCGCTCGATCCTCGAGTCGCCCGACACTTCGATCGTGTCATGCGCGCACTTTGATTGTATGCAGTTGTCTCCTCTTTTCTCTTTTTGATCGTGCGTGACTCTCATTGTAATAAGTACACACCGTAACACCTTCATTCTCTCCCGCCTTCGCTCTCGCGCTCTAGCCAGTCATGCTCTCTCGCGATTAATATTATTTTACTCGAATGTACACTCTTCCTGAGGAACGATGAGAGAGCTGCCTTAGTCTAATTTACGGAATCGCGCTAATTAGCTAATAATCAGAAATTTCGCTTCTGCCTCGGACGAGAAGCTTCTCTCCCTCGCGTTCGACGGGCTTCGCGACGCAAGTCGCGCAGTCGTCCCGGTGCGATTCATTAACTCGTTAATAAATTAATTAATAAAATAATACTGGTGAGCTGCCGCCCGGCAGTTCGTCGCGAGAAGGTCCGACGATCGGCGAAAGAAATGGACTTTTCATCGCTTTTCCCGAAATTAAATCAGCACGGGAATTACTCGATTATTTCGCACTTCCTCCAAAACTAATTCAGCTTGTTTGTCGAAAGCTTTTGCAATTTGTCAAGACGCGAGAACATAATGAGCGATGCGAACCACTTTAATTATCCTTAGGCTGGCGAAGGTGCGAAAACACGCTCCGCGGCGCAATTCGTTCGAGGCGCAACGACAACGAAAAGAGGACTGAGGGGGCATTTCGAAATCGTAATTGTACATTATTGCTGGTGCTGTCGTCTAGGATAGTTTAAGATCGACGATCGAGAGCACGACTTTCGGGAGCGTTTTCCGATTGGCGCGACATCGAACGGCGGGCGTTTGCGCGATCGGCAAAGTTTCCCGTCCGGGCATAAACGCAAACTCGCGCGCATCGATTTCCTTACCCCGCATAAAAACATGGATAGTCGCGCGCCGCGTGATTTTTCGATTTGCGCGAGTTATCGTTAATATGGCATGTCGTTTCGACGCCGCGTCACGGGGCCGGTTCTCCAACGCGGAAACATTTTAACGTGGGAAATCCAAAATTGCCAATAACGCCGTCGCTTTATATAAAATTTCCGAGCGCACAGCCGGACTCTAAATATTCATTCTCCCAAATTAACGGCAATGAAAGTATCGGAGAATGCGAGCTGCAGTTTTAACGAGTCGAGTGACCCGGCGCGATAATAACTGGCGCCGGTTTCGCGACATCATCGGCGTCGTATCTTCACGTAATTTCACGATTGTACGACAAGAGGACGAAGTGAGAGTCGCGCTCGGCGAACGAGGGCTACCTTTGCCCCTTCAACGATAATATTCGTCACCACGGACCGGGCCTCGTTTTGCCGTTTGCGATCGCGCAAGCCACACCGCGCGCAATCTCGCCGGCTCGCACATATAAAATTATATTTACAACAGAGCGATTATTTCTTTGTGTGTTGAGGTATTCGCGTCTAGGCGCGTCTAAAAAGAGAGCGTGCACTGTTTCGAGGAGCGAGAGCGAGGCTCGCGACGCCCGGGAGGGCTTCAAAGAGGACACCCCCTCGCGGAGGCAGCCACTTGTCGCTGCCCGTCCCTCTCGCTCCGAAAAGGAAAGATACAATGGAATTCTCCTCCTTTTCCGGTCTTCGTCGCCATGGTCGCGACGCGCGCGCCTGCCGTTACAAATAATTTAAAAATTATATTCGTATCTATAATCTCTTCTTTCGCGCCTCTCTCCCTCTATACATAGCTTCTTTTATATATATATATGTATATATATATATATATATTAAATTTCAATCTTTGTTTCTCGTTCTTATACGCCGCACACGCACGGGAAAAGATTTCGGTAACGATATCGTGTGTTATGGTACAGCTATGCTACAACTCGGGCGGAGCGTCTCTGCCCTCCCGGTTCCTCTATTTACAATCACTCTCTCGTCGATTACCGTTTTTTTTTTACTTTCTTACATGCGTATGTATATAAGGGATAGCGGTATTTTTATACGGCGTACTAACGTGCGTCTGTACATGCTAAACGCGAACACTTTCACCTCTCACTCTCGCGTCACGCTCTCTCGCTTTGGTCTGTCCCTCGCGGTGTACCAAAAGCCTCGACTACCTTGCGTCCCTCCCGGAGGTGTCACTTCGTTCCGACGTATAAAAAAAAGCATGTCGATATTTCTACAATCACAATGTTTCGTCGATTTGTCCGATGTGTGTCCTTATGACTAGCTCGCTTCGCTGCAAATATAATACAGACATTTGAAAAATAGAAAATAACGAGGGCTTGAGGGTGCTACGCGAGTTGCCCACGTGTTAAATTATCCCGTTTCATTTCAGTTCACCACACAATTAACGCTCGTTACAATAATCGTACGTTCCGGCTCGCAGCCATGTTCAGCGTTAATTAAATGAATCGCGCCGAGCTTCTGCACACTTCCTTCCGTTCGATGATAGGAACTTGAAGAGAATGAAATTTAAACGGGATAAGTTAACACATGGATAACCGTGTAACACTTCTCAGCCACTCATTATTTCATATTTCTTGAGTCACTGCGTTTCCTCGGGGGCGTTCTCGTCTCTTTGGGTGACGATCCGAGGATTACCTAGCGATAACGGGACGAAGCGACATCCCGGAGGAACAAATCAGCGTCGGTGTTCAGCGTAATCCGCGAACCCGCGACTCATCCACGTGCGACTACCGATCGAGGATTGTGTTCGTACATACACGGGCGCTCTCGACCCGATCGCGATAATAATGTGCTGAATAATGGACGCGGGTGATTCGGGTCATTCGCGGAGTCGTCCGGCCCGAGTCTTTGTAGTCCGCGATAAAGCCGGCGCTCGCCGAAATGGCGATTCGGAATGGGGCCGGGGCTCGCAATTGCCGGCTCATGAATCTCCTAACGCCGCGGTTCTGCGTTACGTTATTAACAACACGTCGAGACTTCGTTAGCGCTGCCTCGCTCCTCCGGCTATCTGTTTCGGGAAAATCGCGATTCGAGAATGCATTATCGCGGGCACCGGAAAAGGGAATTCTTTTACGAACGATGTCAGGTGTGTCGCGAGTCGAGTTTCATCGAAGAGCTTTTTCAGAGCGAGAAAGGGTACGCTCTCTCGGGAACAGAGTTTCTCTTCCGCTGCTCTTTCTTTATCGGGCGACCTTTGTAGCTTTACGCTTCGATGGGATTATAAAAATAAAAGGCTCGCGCGCGCCCAAAAATTTCCAGCAGGTGGAAGCGCGAATGTGCGTTTAGCGGCAGTGTGGCGATGGAACTAATGATACGCGTGGCGTTTGCGGTTCCTCGAAATCGTATTATGCACGTTGGAATCTGATTCAAACATCTCGCTTGCGATCTATTTCGCGTACATTTACGCTGCGCAGAACCAAATAATTGCGGAAAAGAAGATTTCACGTTCGAAAGTGAGGCTGACTCGATTTTATTTTGCTTGGCTCGATTGGGCAGATTAACAAACTACTACGATAATCGCGACGCGTTTCATCAGAAATCGAGCGTGGCGTCGGGAAACTTCATACTGTACTGGAGTATCTGGTACGTTAAGAAAATGGACAGAGTGAGATAAACAAATGGTATAATTTCTATTTCTGTTTCTAGTAATTGGATTCGTCAATGATTTTTCTATCTCACTTTATGAACGCCAGAGCGAGACTTATATTAAGGTGAGATAGAAAATCACTGACCAATCAAATTACTAGAAAGAAACAGGATGGTACCGTTGGTCTGTCACACTCTGTCTATTTTGTCTCATTTGACTAGATATTCCAGTATAGTGCAGAGAGAAGTACGCTTAGTAAACAGATGAACCAAAAGATCGAAGGAATCAATAATTCGAATCCCACCAAGAACAAGCTGGTTTTTATTCGAACGCCTCTCGGAAAATAGTGGCAACCAGCAAGATTATCCTGCCCATAGACACATTAAACATAGACGGAGCGTCCCATTGAATAAGCTGAAGCTCGTGAAGAGAGAGATCCTGCCACATGCACCCCCTTGGGCCTGAAAGTCCCACCAGATATGATAACGGGGGTTGGATAGAGGTTGACAACCTACTTCTAGAGTTGCGTTCTTCATGAACGTAAAGAGAGATATAAAAATATTGTTTTAACGAAAGTTGAACAAAAACTATTGATATATATTCAGTTCTTCCCCAGATTTAACATTTTGCACATAATGCTGTACTGTGAAAGAACTAAAAACATACTAGCAGTGTTTTTTTTATTTATTAATTTATTTTTTCTTTATTTATTAATTTGTGTGGATTTGGATAGCTCAGTAGGAAGAGCAGTCGCCCGGTAAGCGTAAGATCGCAGGTTCAACTCCTGGTCTAGTCCTAGCCGTTGTTTTCCTCGCCAAAAAAAAAAAACGGCGCGCTCTAGTGCCTACCTCCCCGGGGTTACATCTATTAATTATTATCGCAATTGCGCGGCACTTTTTGTAAATTTGAAAAACTGGGCAGTATATTTGTTGCAATCCGATGTATCACATCAGATATATGTATATTACATAAAAGCTCGTCGCGTAACAAGACAACGTGTAAATAAATCGTTACAGTCTTCCCTAGAAAATCCTTTTGCATGAACGCTTTTGTCGCGATTCAATCGGTTCATCAGATTCCAACACACACACGTTGCATTCCGCCTTCCCGCTGACGGATGGTTCGAGGGGCCGACGTTTAGTCTACCGTGTGTCGCTTTGTTTCGCGCCGAGACTCCCTAAAGCGTCCTTGGTACGGAAAGTGATTATTATTGGACTAGATAACCGCGTGGTGTGCTGTCTAACGTTCCCTACCGTGTATACGCGATCGGATCCGCTCCTGCGGGTGCGGGGCAAAAATTATACGTTCCGTCGTATCAAAGTTTGTACGAGACTTGCCGGTCGGCTGAACACGTCCGACCGTTTAGGATAGGACTGGCAGTGGATCGGTTAATCTGGGGCGAGACGCCCGTAATCGAGACCCGCTTATCTCGCAATTTGTACGCGCCGTTTAAGAACGACTTCGTTATTCAGCCTGGAAACCACCACATCCTTAGATTTTCGATGTTACATTAGGAATATCAAGTTTCATCTTAGAATAAACAGATCTGCCAGTTTCGATCCGGCAGGTCTCGATTCCGAATGTCTCGCACGCCCGTGTGGCTAGAAAACTGTGAATTGCTTGAAAGAGCGATGTGGGGGGGGGGGGATAATCGCCTGACGGGGTGGTTTCGATACTCCTTCGCGATTGGTAGTCGCACGTTTTGCGGCGAGGACGAGGTCGGCTCGTTCCGCGGCTGATGCTCTCCCTCTACGTGTATAAATTACAAAGGATCGGACTAAAAAGGTAAAAGTAATCGTTAGCGTCCTTTGGTACCAGCCTGAGTCTCATTGGATTACAAATAAATTTGTTAGATAGTCCTGCGTGTCGGTTATATGTATAAATCACTAGGAGATCACTGCGTTTCTCTCGTCAAGTCCGAATCGTCGGTAGCTCGCCGGGTCTCGTCGCCCCGACGGCCGGAGCCGTTCGACGCGGTCGTCGCGACTCGACTCGCCGGGGCGACGAGAGTGCCCTTATTGACTTCTTAACTGTGGACGTCGAAGTATCAAAATACAGTTCAGCACAGCCGAATCGGCATCAGCCGTTCTCTCTCCGTTAACGAGCGCGCTCGACGGGCGCCGTCGTTCCGTCGTGGCAGCAACGCGACGGGAACGAGGTCTCATCTCGTCTCTCTCCCTTCCCAGAGGAGAGAGCAACGTCTCCGGGGATGCCGTCGGAGACGTCGCGATCGGTCCTCCATTAGGACACGATGTAGTCCGCGGAATGGTGCGAGTGGTGGGAGTTGCGTTGCTTGTCCCTGCGGTGATTCGTCCGGGAGTTGCTGCCGCGGGTGCCGGTGGTGCCGGTGGTGCCGGTGGTGCCGGACGTGTGGTGGCTGTAACCGCTGTCGCTGCCGAAGCTGCTGTCGGGCTGGCCCTGATACAGCCGGCCGGTGTTGACTACCTGATCGCACGCCGGGTCCCGGGTCGAGTTGGTGTAATACACCGGCTGGCTGTACTTGTCGTCGCCGCCGCCGAACAGCCGGTCCGTCGGCTGCGAGTACGTGTCCGAGTACTCGCCGCCCACCTGGGTGTAGAGCGGCGTCGTGACGTCGGGCTGGCCCTGCAGACCGTAGTAGTCGCCGGCGTATTGCTGCTGGGACGACAGGTACTTGTACTTGTCGCCGCCGCCGGATTTGCCGTTGCGCGAGCGCTCCTTGCAGCTCCTGTTCTGGCTGGAGTAGCGGTGCAGGGGTCCCAGCACCGGCACGCTCTCGTAGGGGTTCTCCTCGAGCCGCGGTGCCTGGGCTGCCGGCAAGGTCGGCACGAAGTACGGTAACCTGTGCGCCACCGACGGGACGGACTGCTGGCGTTGGGTGCTGCCCGTTCGAGTACCGGCCACGCCTGAAACCGTAGACTCGAGTCAGTGGGAGCTCGGGGACGCGTTTATATTACCGCGGGCACGCTGTAACGAGGTTGAAAAGTTAACGCGGAGTTCGGGGAAAATCGTGGTAGGAAATCAAAATAGAAAATTGAGGTGGGAAGTCGAGATGGGAAAATGAGAATAACGGCAGGAGAGATTACTTCGGTGCAGAGAGAAGAGCGCGCGTTACGTCCGCCAAGTTTCGATTCAAGTTTATCAAATTCGATTCGGTCTCATCAAGAGGGTAGGTAGGTAGTGAAAGACCCCGTACGATATACCGCGACAGGTCACAGCGAGGCGGTCCAGGGCCTAAAAATGTTAACGCTCGATCGCGTAGAAGCGCCACGCACTCTAGGCAAATGTTAAAACGGCAAACAGTTCCTCGAGGGGCAGGTAGAAAAACGGGGAGGGCAAGAAATAAGGAGGCAGCATCGTCGACGACCGGAGTCGAGAGGCCGATGTGTCGCCGGCCAATAACGTAAGAACGGTAAACAATTACGGAGCGGACGGGCAAACATCATTGTTAGTTCAGAGATGTTGATTCAGCGCGCGCTACAACCGGGGAAAAATCTTTCGAGCGGAATTACTTTCCTCGGGAAACGCGCCTTCTCCGTCGTCCCTTTCACACGCGGCACCGCCTTGTCCCCATTTCCCACCGGAGTATCGTTACAGCTCGGTAGCTTCAGCCGCGATTTACCTGCGACGCTAGGATAGAGCTGGAGCAGCGCGTCCAGCAGCATACCCTCGTGGAACTCGCCCATGTCGTGGCTCTTGTCCCGCCTGCGCCGGTCGAGGCTCCTGGGGCTGCGGCCGCGTCGCTCGCGCTGTGGCCTGCCACCGGCCGGGCACGTACCCCAGGTGGGGCCGCTGCTCGAGGTGAGCATCCTCGCCTCCGACGGCTCGCCCACCGACAGCTCGTCCTCGGCGAACTCGTCCTCGCTCGCCGGCTTGGACGCGCTGGTCGTGCGGTGATGGTGACGGTGGTGGTGGTGGTGGTGATGCAAACGATTGCGGGCGTTTAACTCGCTCTCCTCGTCCGTCTCCGGATGGTCCCCTGCGGGATCGAGATTCGTTTAAGGATCTTAACTTGACGGTGTGACGCGCGGATAACAGCGGGGATTTCGTTCTTAGCGGGACGGCGCGGGTTGATTAATCGCGAATAAGGTCCGTCCGATAATTTAGCGGGGGTTAACTGGACGTCGAGAAACGAGAGTATTCCTCGGCACGCGGTAGAAATTAATCAGGTGGATAATTAGCTTCTGGGAAGGTGAATTATTTCGTAAGATACGAGAGTGGGTGAAAGCTGCGGAAGTGCGGATTCGTATTTCTAATCGCGTTTCTGTCGGGAAACTCGGGTGAAATCAGCTCGAGACATAACGTATGGACTTTGACGTTATATTTATAATTGCGATTTAACTGACGAACTCGAATATCACAGACTTCTATACATACACTACTGGACTGCTACCTTCGAGCTGAAAAGTGAGGCAAGAGTTCCGCCATGTCTTGTTAGGTGAATAAAGTAGTATGTGTGCATCTGTCAATGACACATCGATGCAGCTCGAAGGTAGCAGTCTAGTGGCATATAGAAATCTGTGACTCGAACGTTGTTGCGATCTTGACGGGAATTTTGTTTCCCGGGATTTAATAATTCATTCCTTGAGAGGGATTTTAAATCTCATTCGATTAATAACATTGTCAACTCAAGGTTGTTACTACGCATCTACCGAGTCTATTAGTGATTTTTGCAGCTCAAGCGACATGAATTTATACTCAATTGTTTTATGTGTAGACCCCACGTACGCTGCAGCAATTATGATATTAACAGGTTCATTTCTAACATTAATTTCAACTGTTATATGCAATGTTATGTTTGACCCTTTGTTTTTTAAATATTAATTAACAGTCGTCGAAAAATACTCCATTCAAACCACTAAAAATTATTAAATTTCATGAAAATGTATCTTCCCTTTGGCAACAGCGCAATTTGAATTTTGTTATTCTGTGAGAAGCGCGATTGTTTAAAGAATACGTCGTGAAGTCTCATGCAGACGGCAATCGCATTCCATTCCACACTACATACTCATCGATTATCACTGGCTTTTTGATCCCGGAGCGAAGGATTCGATTTGGCTTGCGGGTTTGGACGGTAAGGCTCCAGGACGGAAGGCCGGTTTAGGACGAGAAACGCATTGTAACAATTAAAGATTTCACCACGGGATGTGATTGGAGTAACCCGATATATACCTCGGCCCCGAGCTAAAATTTCGCTTCGTCGGTTTGGCAACACGAGACTCCGCTTCGCTCCTGCATTAATTGCCTCGCGTTATTCCGCCGAAATGTCGTGGTTGAGCCGCGATCAATACTAACGACACGGCGGGCCGTGTATACGCGAGTTCACGTTGAAAAAACGGGGAGATATCGTATAAATAATCGCGGTGTAAAACGGGACATATCGTGGCGGAAGCGGAACGCGGCGCGGGATGTCGCGCGCAACGCCGGCGGTCGAGATCGCGAGAAATCGAACGGGCCCCGATTAAATTTTATCTCGCGGCACAGAGACGGAAGAGAGACGTCGATTGGAAACAGGACCGGGATAGAGTGGCGGTCGAGATCGCGAGAAATCGAACGGGCCCCGATTAATTGTTATCTCGCGGCACAGAGGCGGCACGGAAGAGAGACGTCGATCGGAATGAGGACCGGGATAGAGACGCGGGACGTGACGCACCCGAATTATTCTCAAACAGATTGGAGGTGCTATCGGACCGTGGCTTCGCTCTCGGAGCTCTTAAGTCCGCACTTCGCCGGCCATTAAACCACTCGAGATATCCTCTGTCGTCTCGGACGAGTGTCCCCTCGAAATATCCTCCCGCTGCTTCCAGCGAGAACAGAAGAGGATGACCTGTTAACCGTTCGACGTCGATCTCGTCGATCGGGACGTGATTCTCGACTCCCGTCGTCTCGGATTTCTCGTGAAAGCGGCACACATTGTTAGCCAACAGTGGCCTGAGTTGTTCCGACCAAGTCAAGAGACACTGTCTTCGAAACGTCGGGAAATAAGTCAGACACGAAGGACGCGGGAGAGCGTGTATCTGGAAATCATACGACCGGAGGTACACGCGTCTCGAGAATTATCGAAGGTACTTGTCGCGACTGGGGAATTATCCTGTCGAGAACAAGCGACTTCATTTCGGCGGGGCTCAATTCGATCAGTTCCATGTTGCAGTGTTGCAACGCGCGAGTTATCCTCCACGTCGACGTGGCCCGTCGAGCGGCTGGTCCGTTGAATTCTCTCCGAGCGTTTTTACAAGCCCGCAAGGGACAGGACCACCCTCTTCGAGATCGATGTTCTCTCTCGTCTCGAAACTCGGGGAACGTACACGATGCGTACGTAGCGTACATACATATATGCGCGGGCCGAGCGCCGTGGTTACGACTAATGCACGCGGTGCAGCATGTATATTCGATTACCAGGTCCTCGTCAAACGTCGAAAGCCTCATCACCATACTAATTAGCCGTCCAACTAATGGGAAGTATAAGTCAGAGGTCGTGTCACGCTTATCTCCCTTCGGTAGAATACACGACAGCGCACAAGAGTGGGATCACCGCGGAGAAAAAGAGAAAGGGTGACGGAGAAGGGGGGGGAGGGGAAACAATTTCAAAGAAATTACAAGAGAAAAACAAACGGAAAGGTGCAACGTGAAACGGCGTTTATCAGATTCTCGTTTGTCGAGATGTATTCGGACTCTGATTATATCTTTATAATAGACACACTGAGACAAATATCCGATTAAATATAATCGGATAATCCAATTACATAATAACAAACGGACGTATCCGATGAAAAATATGAGTGGTTTGTCGATCTTTCATCGGTGACTGCATTTCATCGAATAAATTAATCGGGAAAATTAACCGTCGGTTTTTCTGATTAAGTTTTCCGATTAAATTATGGACATATTCGATGAAATTTAATCGAAAAACTATCTAATCAAAAACCGATTATATTTTTCATCGGATATACAATTTAATTGAATATATCCGTTTGTCAATATGCAATTGTTTATCCGATTAGATAGGCTAGGATCTTTTTCTCAGTGCGTATATTTTGTAAATTTATCGATTTTTATTTAAATTCTCAATTTCGTTGATTCCTAAGTTCACATATATTTTGAATATATGCATATATGTACTTGTAGATTTATTTCTTGTGCGTTTCGACACCTGCTCCCATAAAGATTTTCTTGCATACTATGGTAAATAGTGAGAGAATCTGCAAGTGTAAAAATTATTTTGAGGTCACAGATTTGATCTCGCAGAGCCTGAATCTCATACGCGAGTTTATACGATACACCCAGAAAAAAGATTTATTTAGGTTAAACAAATGAGACACCTGTTGAAATCACGTTTCTTTGAATCAGCTAAATTATTATGTACTTGTACTAAAACATTTTTGAAGAAATAAATATGCATTCTCTTAGAGATTTCAATTCTTAATCAGATAAAATTTTGGACAAGGTGAAGAAATTATTTCTTTCAAGTCAAATAAAAGTCTAGTGAGGTGAAATTTCCAAGAAAATTTGTTTGATTTCAAAGAAACTTTTTTCTGGGCGCACTTCCATTTAAATCACAGAGATCTTCATCGATTCTCGCGATAGTTAAATTTACGAAATCACGTGCCTTCGCTGCCATCCTATTTCTCGTGTTTACCTACAAAACTTATCCTTTTTGCAATCTTATAGATTTCCATTCACACAAATCCCATCTTTCTTTTCCGCGCATTTTCAATCTCGCGAACTCATTGAACTCCGCGGGTCGGAACTTCCGCGACACGCAGATTCTCACTTCCAAAATCCTCCTCGCACCAGCGCGCCTTTAAAAAGTTCCATCGGCTCTTTTTTGCCCCATAAATCTCCGACGCCGCAGACTTTCCCGTAAATCGCGACGCACGCGAATCTGCCGGATTATTCTGATAAATGCAGTCCCGCAGTTACCAGGAACAAACCAGAAAAGGGAAATACGTAAGGGGGGCAAGGGCAAGGAGGTGGAGGGAACGAGGAAGTCTCGCAAAGCGCGCGTTAGTCGATGGGATTTAACGCTAGTTCAACTCAGCCGCATGTTAATCGTGTATTAAGCCAACCGACAGAGGCGGACACACCGTTTCGAAAACTCGTATACTCTCGTGCCGTACCTATGCGTTTCCCGCGGGCATGTTCGACTCCGAGGATACTCCCCAGCGTCTTCAGAGGCGAGTCTCGTCTAGAAGGAGAGTGCGTGATTTGCGTCTGCATGGGAACGTTAGGGTTTCCGCGCGTCATAGACGAGGATAGCTTCGTGTTTCCGCGCTTATTTATCGTCTTGCGGATTATGAAACTTGCACACAAAACTGCGCACGGTTGAGATTATTTATTACTAATATTATTTGTGTAAAACAGCAAGTTTTCCTTTTTTAAAGGGCCTGTTCTGTAAACGTTAACGATATCATTACGGGCTTTGCGCAGCTTTTTACGACATATTACATGTGCGCAAAGCGTTTACAGAATAGGCCCCTGAAGCAGCTTTGAATTATCTTGGCGAGGATTACTTATAAACCTAAGCGAAGATGTCATTATCATTTTTCAACTCAACTTAATGGAAATAAAACGAGCCTCCGATAAATTCGATCGCGAATTCTCTCCAGTGCGTTTCGATCGTCTGCTCAACCACCGAGTCGTCTAATGACAATTTCGACCCTCTCTCCTCTCCACCGTTGCATTGTTGCCCTCGCGATTTCTTCGCCGTGATAAAAACCGCGACGCGTAAAAGGAGACGCCGTCGGGCAAAGCCGTCCAAAGTAAACATCGATTATCGGCACTTACCGTTGCTGAGCTCCTCGTAGACGGGATTATAAAGGTCCTGCGACGTGTAAGGATCAGGACCGGGGCTGCTGCAGACGAACACCCCTCTTCCGCCGTCCTTGACGTCCAGCATCTGCCGTGATAACAAAAATGCGCAAGTTAGAGACAGAGGGAACGAGCGCGACGCGGACGAGAAAATGTCGTCGATAATTTCTAGACGCCGCCATATTTTTTTTATTTGCGCAATTGCTACCAAATGATATCTTGTGACTGTTACTTACACTTTTCATACAACATATATGAGGTACAACGGGTGACGCGAATATTAGAAATCGATGAAACCTTAGTTGTGAGTAATTGAAGATCGGGGAGTTACACTGTGATTAATTTCACGTTCAATACAATCTTTCTCTCTCTCTCTCTCTCTCAATTCTATCGCGATATAATAAATTGCACGCCGTTTGAGAATTAAGACCGCCGCCATTTTCTTCCTCGCTCTGCGGGGTTGAAGGGTAATTAGTCCTGAGTTGTGACTAAAAATAGGTCAGCTCGTTACAAACGAGCCGGGGGTTCGCGCTTCCACGGTTGTTTTACGAGGCTCTTTAGGAACGGCGACTTGTTTACGACAACGTTGGAAAACAATTAGCGAATAAAGGAAAGGAACGCGGACAGGGGGGCGATGAGGGTCCAGGTGGAGGGAAAACAGCAAGAAGAAACTCGGGGGGGATGATTGGCACGTGGGCATCAGACGAGAGACCTCAACACTCTTTCGGAGCCTCCGTGTTTTCCCGCCGACGATTAACTCGTTCCTGCCCGTCCACCCGCTCTCTCAAACTCTCACCCTCCGGCCTCCCCGAGCCGGGAATCCAGCTCTGGAAACGCTGACTCGGTCACCCGAAAAGCGAGGGTGTCGAAAGTTAATCCCCAAATTGGCAGGAAGCTTATACATCACGGCAGGATAATAAGTAACGATCCCGCCGCGCGAGAGAGAAAGAGATAGAGACGTTATCCCGGCAGCTAATCCCACCGGTATTTTTGTTGAATAATTAACTGCCCTGCGCGCGGCCAAGTTCGATGAAATTTCGGGTGCTTCGCGAGAAAAGTCTCTCTCGCTGGCTCGCGATCGCCAACGTGCGTCAAGGTCTGCGTCCACGTTGCTAGAACTTGATCCAGGTTTCTAGTTCCGAGAAATGTGTAGCCAGTCAACTCGCAGCTATTCCATAAAAGCTGCAAGTTGATTGGCTACACATTTCTCGGAACTAGAACCTGGACCAAGTTCTAGCATCGTGGACACAGGCCTTTATATATCACGTCATCTGTCCTGAGAAGGTCGCGCGAGTGTAAAGGGTCTCTTTCCGGAATCTTCTCGCCGCAGGACACGGGGGTTAATCGAAACACAGCCCGATAGACAGCTGGGGGAAGCGCGTGTAACACAGGACACACGACATAATCGCGGGCTCGATTTAATCCCTTTGCCGCGTCCTTGTAATGGCTCGTGTGTCGTCGTAAGCCCGCCGCAAGCGGTTTCCGGTCTCCGTGTTCCGTCCCGTTGGTGTTCCCGAGCCTGAAAATCTGCCAACCAGCTTGCTCTCCGGTTCGGCCGAGGTGTCGCGTTAACGGGCGCAAATGATACGCTACGATCCCCAATCTATCTCGCTATCGCTCCCACTCATCCTGGGGGGGGGGGGGGGAGGGTGGCCGTAATGTCCTGTGATCCCGCCGGATACCATACGCACGGCGATTGAAACCGGTCCAATTTCGAGGAGCTCAATTTCTCGCGTACGATATACACCAAGTGCACCTTCCGACGAAGATCGAACACGATTTTAACCCCGACATATTCTACTTCGAGGCTTCGAATTAACGCTACGTTTCAAACCGCGAAGGCTACATTTAGAAAATCGGCGTCGATAATTGATTGATGAACCGAACCGATTAAAGAGATTTCCGCGAGTATCCCGCGCGTGACGTAAATTCGCTTCACGTCTCCTTGACTCGTCCGAGTTACATTTCCCCCCCGATATATATAATCTTGGTATCTTTATCTACCGGAAACTGCCCACGTAGTTTCCCCGCGAGGTCTCCTCGCGAACTCGTTAATTTGCAACGTTACCTCTCGTCGCCTCGGACGAATCGTAATGTCCTCGCGCGGAACAGGACGGTCGCGACGCGTGACGTAAATTCGAACCCGTACGAGGGTTGAAATATCGCTGATAGCGCGTGGGAGTATCGGGTCCATGCGAGGGCGGATGGTGGACGTTTCTATCTAAAATTATATCTCCCGAATTGTGCGAGTCGTGTTTCCCGTCGCCTAGGCTCCTCGGGCAGGACGGACAAATGGATCCGACCGGGCCGGATGCACACAGGTACATAGACGTGTCTATTTTCTGTGCCTCGCGCGGTACGCGTCGCGGGCCGCGACGGCGACGGCGGCAAACGCGCGCGAAAGATCCCTCTGTGTTGAACGCGTCGGTGGTAGCGTGGGCCGAAAGGTCGGACGTTGTCGTTGATTTTGCAAAACATCGAAAAAATAATGGATAAATGCATTCTGTCGAGCCGCGTCCAGTCTACGAGGCCAATCGATTGCACAGTTTCATTGTGCGCAAAAATATCGCGGAGCCACGGTTTTATACAGATACCGCGCGCGCGGTATTCCCCGAATAAAATACTATTTTACGCCCGCTATCGGTTAGCGTATTATGTTGCAACAATCATGGGATACGAAAACATATTGGAATATCTTCAATTTACCAATATGTTGCGCCAGATCCGTGTTTTTGTGCGTGTATTCGTATACACTGCGCGAATTTCACCGCAACAGACCGGTACATCGAGATTAAAGCCAGAGGTTCTCGTGTACGATCCAAATAAACTCCCTAAAGTTCTAATCGTACGTTCGCAGTATTTTTCCAAGGACACGTGATAAAACGTAATTTCAATCTAATTGTGCTGGGAAATTTAAATCACCCCATCTCGCGCGGTTGCGCATTTTTTTTGGTTTTCTCATCGACTCGAGTGCGGCGAGTATCTGCAATCTGGTCTTTTATCCGTGGATGCAATCGTGTGCTCTAAGACACGGACGCTCTCGCGGGTGCACAAATTGCCGGAATCGAGTTAGCCGCTCGGTGGCCCGCGCGGGGACGATTAGGGCAAAGGAAACCGACGGGTTTCTTGCATCCTCCCCATTAAATTCCTCGGGGCGGTGCTATCGTCCACTGAAAGAAAAGGATCCCTCGTTCCCACTGACAAGCGCCGGCGGCCTTGAAAGAGCACAGGGTTCATTATCGTGTTTGTCTGTGGAAACCGTCAACCGGGCATCTACGATTTTTCGAGCGCTTAAGCCCGCTCCTTGATCTGTTCATTTAGTACCCGGTGTAGAAGAATTATCCAATTGCTGTGTTTTATTGAGCGTGAATTTGTCGGTCCTTTATCCGTCTATGAAAATAAATACTTTAACGTACCAACTAATATAAAGAATTATATACTCTCTTTCTCTCGTCTCTCTCAAAAAGTTTGAATACAGAGTATCTCGTGTTATTTACTTATCTTAAGATGTACAATTGTTTCTTTTAAACATTGCCTTCGCTCGTGAATATGTGAACCCGTTTGATGCTGTCCAATCGTCCAATTCCCCGTCTAATTCGCCATAGAGTATGGTTCGGTGTATTTTGGTGAAAGTGTTGGCAGCATTTTCCACGTGTAGACCCAAGATACAATTTTCACAATTTTCACCTTGTCCCGGTGGCAGAATAATTTTTACTTAAAATGTCCTCTCACGAGAAATAGAGTCGGGTCTTTCGAAAGTCGAGTTAGGAGTTGGCCAAGTCGCATGTCCAACCTTCGACCTCTCGGAATTGAGTTAGGCACCATTAGCGCGAGGTCGAGATAGAACGAAGGCGGAACCAGGTCTCCTGAATCAAACTTCCGCTCATAGCTCATCTAAACGGTGCAAAATGGCAAGGAGACTTCTTCTCTAGGCGAATAATGAAATTTACCTCGCGCTAACCGACGGAACAGATAAATGAGATCGGAATTGTCGTGAAACGCGTCACGTTCGATCACATCGAGTCTCGCGCCGCGCAAAACTGCTCCACTATATATTTCTCACGATCTTTCTAAACCGCTTCCACTTCAATTTTAATATTGAATTTCTTATTTCCTGCAATTTCATTTTGGAATACTCGGCGGGGAATAAAATAATCTCGCATTTACGAGGAACAGAAGGCAGGCCTCGGCCCGGCCCTCGTAAAGGCGCCGGCGCATTTTTAGGCGAGTTATGAGAGCTGGCAAAGTTCCACACGTTCGGAGAATTTTCAATCTTCCGGTCGAGAAGTTCGATATTCGGCCGGCTTCACCTCGCGCGCACGGATCTGATTATCCTAATGATTTTATGGTACCCGGCGCGAGTTTTACTTGGCCGAGGAAGCGGGACGTGTAAAAACGCGAGCGACTCGGCCGCTCTCCCTCCTTCTACGCCCCTTTCTCGTTCTCCTCTTCCGCCGGTATTAAAATTCTATGTCTGTTATACGTTCCCCATAATGGCCGGGCTGGTGCTCGCGGGGGCCTTTGAAAAGTTGATCGCTTTAATGATCCCGTGGCCCCCGCAGGCGGCCGGCACCTCGCTAAACTTAGATCTCTCGGACGTCGGCGACAGTGCATACTTAAAGCGCCTTAGCCGACATAAAAGAGGGAGTGGGCCGTGGGCCTCGCTTCGTCTCTCCACCTAACTGCGAAAGTTCGCGACATAAATAATCAGGAACTTTCCTGAATTAATTTCAATCGATCGGTAAATTCGGGACTCCGCCGGTGGAACTTGGCCGGGGCCGCGTTTCCACGAGGGAAACGAGTTTTCGGATGTTTGGCATTAATAACGCATTAAAGCAGCGGAGGGTCGCGTGCGAGACAAAAATATCTATTTCGGTATCAATTTAAAAAAAACGTCCATTTTTCTTGCATTCGTGATATCTTCCCCGTTAAATCATCTCTTTTCGTCAAATTGTCGCGAGATGGGTAACGTCTCTATCTAGTCGTCATCAAATCAAACGGTCCGAAAAATCATGATTGATATTGATTTGATCATCGACTTGTGAACGCTTCTTGGCGCATCACTTCGAGTGTACGGGGTCTACGAAC